AATGTATGAATAAGATGATCATTGTAGTCTTTGTAGTAAAGGTTGACACCATGTATTATAATATACTTTTCATTTGTCAAGGGATTTTAAGGTAATATCAGTAACCGAGTTACAGGGATAGAAAAAGGAAACACATCAATAGCAAGTTGGCATTAAATATGGAACACAGAGCATCAACCTCAGAACCACTGTATCTGACCAGAGGAATTTCCCACATCCCCAACATCACATATGAAAAATAGTACATCAAACTAAAGCTAAATTACAGCTTTATAAGAAAAAAAGGTACACTCTAAAAATAATTTTGTCTTTCAGCCAGCAGTTCCAGGATGACTTTTAAGGATATCAACTATTCCCAGCCCTCCAGTGGGACAGATGCCAACAACTGTTGAATATCACCATGGGTCCTCCATTCATTCCCCAGAACATGTATTCAGCAGCCATTATGCCCTGTATTCATAACCATATTGTTGAACATTTATAAAGCATCTGTCATATTTAAATGTAGGTGATTAGAATATATATGTATATACATAGCAGATTTAAGTTTCAAATTCTTTGTGAGAAGAGACAGATATATGATAATGGATGATACAAAGAAGAAAACTCAATACACAGACATGGGGAGAGTCAGAGATGGGCAGCAGGGGCTGCCATGGTACCTGGGAAGTTGTCTTGAAAGTGAGGAGTGTAAGGTAAGTGTGATGGTACACACCCATAATCTCAGCAATTAGAGAGTGTAAGAACAAGAATAAGGACTTTGAGAAGTAGCCATACAGTTTGTTCAAGATCATCTTCTGCTACATAGATAGTTCTTAAGACTTGATGTACTCTTGCCTGTCTCCTGAAAGGAATGGGAGGGAGGAAAGGAGAGGGGAAGACAGAAAGTGATAGAACCAAAAACCAAGAAATATGTTAGAGAGAGTTCATAGTGTATATATACAAAGTGCAAACTACTCAGGATATACAGATCAGTAATGAAAAATGAAAGAAAATGAATTCCCATGCCTAGCTGAGGACCTGTTGACAGGTGATGGCTGCTGGGGAGAGAGACTTGATTTTCTTTAAGGGTGTGGTCCCTGATAGGTTGATCATCTGCCAGAGAATGGTCCATACTCATGCATCCTCATGCATCTATGGGCAGCACTAATTAGGGGAGAGAGAGAGAGAGAGAGAGAGAGAGAGAGAGAGGGAGAGAGAGAGAGAGAGAGAGAGAGAGAGAGAGAGAGAGAGAGAGAGGAAGATGACAGATTGATGATAGATTAGATGGATAGTTTGTGTACATGTATGAACTTCCCAAAGATTAAATTTCAAATAGAAGATACTGTCAAAGGCACCATTGTAACAAGAAAGAGCCTAAAGAGGACATATACTGCCTCTTAATGACAGAAGACAAAGAGCTGCATGGGGAGATGACATGGAAAGTAGAACAAACAAAAGCAAGGGCACTGTTGGCCTCCGTTACAAATTAAATTTAACTGATGGGCTCTCTGGCACAAAGGACACCCACACTGAATGGCATTTAAGCTGTCCATCTAAAACCTATAAATAATTATCTGTAATTGCTGGGTCAGTCATTAGGTCACTGGAAGTTTGTCCTCAGGAAATGATAGAGAAAAAAGAATTCATATAGTACAGGCCTTTGTAACATTCCTAATTTATTTTATCTCTTTGGTGGACCTCAGGTCCAGAGTTGGATTAATCATAATCTTTAATCACATGTTTCCATCATTAGGCAATGGAACATCTTCCATAATTTAATGTTTCTTTTATTAGATATACTTATAATTGATACCTGTGTTTAAACATGGTACCCCCAAAGCAAGACATGAAAATGCATTGCTCAAAGGGGGGAACATTGAAGGAGATGCACAGATGTGTGGGATTTAGATGATATATGCCATAGTAAATGATGGAGAAAGGAAGGGACTTTTCAGCAAGCTTACCTGGAATAGTGATAATTTGTAAGAAAAGAAGCATTCAAACGCACTCTTTCCCTGTACATTATGCAAAAGCAGGTTGTATATTGTTTAAGGTATTTTTTTAATTTTATAAACTTTATTATTAAAAACCTAAAGAAACCAAAACCGCACAGATCATACATAACCAGTCTATGCAACTCAATGAACTTCTTCAGAGTAAGATTAAGAATAGTTTAAGATCTTGATATCAAATAAAAGCATTAAAATATATAACAAAAGTATGGCTTTTCTCCTGGCACTAAAAGGATTGATAACTTACAGTAGAATTAAGAAATCTGGTTCACACCAACCGAAGGGCTGGGAGGTGAGGTGGGGCTGAGGGGTACACACTGGTTCCTAACAGATGTTAATAACCTGGCGATCGCTGGGTGGCGCACGCCTTTAATCCCAGCACTTGCGAGGCAGAGGCAGGTGGATTTCTGAGTTCGAGAGTTCAAGGCTAGCCTGGTCTACAGAGTGAGTTCCAGGACAGACAGGGCTACACAGAGAAACCCTGTCTCAAAAAAAAAAAAAAAACAAACAAACAAAAAAAACCCTGGCGATCGATCTTTTGCTCTCTGTACAGTCAGGCCTCACCTGAATCCCCCAGACTCCAGAACACTGTTCCTTAATCAACAGAGTCCGTTTTTATGGTCCTATCAGAGATCCTATGGACTTCACAAGAGTCTACAATTATGCTTATTCCAGACCCTTCCTCCCTAGACCCTTATCCAGAGCACTGTCAGGTACTAGAACCCATTCTTATGGAGGAGGTCACAGGTACTTTGTAACGCAGTTGATGTCTTGTATCTTAAGCTTTATTGTGAGAATTGTCACAAGGAAACTTTTTTCTAAAGTTGTACTGTTCTTAAATATGCCAAAATAAACTGCTCAGGTTCAGACTCTAGAAGTTTAAGTCAGCACCAGCTACTGAGTTGCATTGAACCAGATTTTCTTCTTGCTTAGCATTTGGGGGGATCCCCAGAGATTCCAACTTCACAACCTCTTCAACACACGTTTCTTTATTTCTTCATATGTGTGTATGTGTGTGTGATGTGTGTGCGTGTATGTGTGTGTGATGTATGTGTGTGTATGTGTGTGATGTGTGTGCGTGTATGTGTGTAATGTATGTGTGTGTATGTGTGTGTGATGTGTGTGTGTGTATGTGTGTGATGTATGTGTGTGTGTGATATATGTGTGTGTATATGTACATATGTGTGATGTGTTTGTATGTGTGTGTATATGTGTCCATATTCACTTGTCCATGCATGTGTGTGTGGAAACCAAAGGTTGATGTTGATTTTTCTTTTTTGAGGCATGGTCTTTCTGAACCTGGAGATAGACTAGTGGACAGTGAGCCCCTATGTCCACCTATCTCTGCTTTCCAGCACTGGGTCATAGACGGGTGCTGTTGCATCTGGCTTTTACTCGGGTCCTAAGGATCTTAACTCAGATCCCCAAGCTTAGGCAGCAAGCCATTTAAGATGGCCCACTGAGCCATCTTACTGCCCCCATTGTTCATCTTTGTTCACCCTTTTCCCTCCCTCCCTTCTTTTCTTCCATTGTTAAAACTTTTATTTCTTCTAAGAGCTTAATAGTTCTAAACCTTTCATTTAGGTCTTCAAAGCACTTTGAATCAATTTTCTGTATAGGATGCAGTCAATCTTTTTCCTGGCAGTACTGGGGATTGAACCTAAAGTCTCACACATGTTAGGTAAGAAATACGCCACTGAGCTACAGCCTCAGTCCTGTGATTGATTCTTTTACACATAATGTTCAGTTGTTCTAGTACTGAAAAGTCTACTCTTGGGCTGGAGACACAGCTCGTGGTTGAGAGCGCTTGTTCTTGCTAAGGACCACAGTCCCGGTCCATGAAACATCTGTCAAAATTCTGCCAGGCTGGGAGGATGGTTCAGTGGTTAACGTGCTGCGCAAATGTGAGAGGACCAGAGTTCAGATCCCTAGAAATCCACCTGTGAGTCCAGCCTCAGAAAGCAGAGATGGGAGATCCACAAAGCAAGCTGGCTGGCAAGACTAGCCATGTTGGCAAGCTCTAGGTTTTATTGAGAAATTCTGTCTCAAAAGACGAGATGGAAGAGAGGATGATTTCTGACATTAACCTCAAACCTCCACATACGTGTTCACACATGTGCATGTTGCCCACATACACGTACATCCATATACATGCAAAACCACAGATATACACATGTGCGCACACTTGGAAAAAATGCAAATGGAAGAATTCCATTGATTGTTTCTCCCCAGAAATGGGACTGTAGTTCAGTGGGTAGAGTGCTTGCCTGGGACTCATGAAGCCCTGGGTTCCACCCTTGGCATCACTAAGCCGCGTGTGGTGCTGCATACCTGCAATCCCAGTAAGGTACGTGTGGGAGGATAAAGAGTTCAAAGTCAACGTTGGTTCAGTACTGACTTGGATACCAGCTTGGGGTACATGAGAGCTTGGATGAAAAGAGAAAAGAAATAAGGAAATTGCACTGATGTATAAACTAGCTGGAGACTAGTGCTATCCTAATGATGTCTAGTCTTCTAACCAGCAACACAGGATCATTATTAACTTGGGTCTTCTTTGTCTTTTTCAACTGTACTTTGTAATTTTCTGTGTATAAGAATCATGCTTCCAGGCTGGAGAGATGGGTCAGTGGTTAAGAGCACTGACTGCTCTTCCAGAGGTCCTGAGTTCAACTCCCAGCAACCACATGGTGGCTCACAACCATCTGTAATGATATCTGATGCCCTCTTCTGGTGTGTCTGGAGACAGCTACAGTGTACTTATATACATAAAATAAATAGATAAATATTTAAAAAAAAAAAAAAAGAATCCTGCTTCCAACTGGGTGGTGCTACATGCCTTTAATCCCAGCACTCAGGAGGCAGAGGTAGGTGAATCTCTGTATTTTTGAGGCCAGCCTGGTCTACAGAGCAAGTTCCAGGACAGCCAGGGCTACACAGATAAACTCTGTCTCGAAAAAACCAACCAAACAAACAAACAAACAAACAAACACAAAAACTCAATTATGCTCCATTTTGATTTTTTAATAATTTAAAATGACAATGAACTGCCTGTGATAGGCCCATGGGAGACTTTTATCAGGCTGCAGAGGTGGCTCAGAAGAGCACTGGTTGCTACTCCAGAGGACCTGGGTTCGATTCTCAGCACCACAAACATCTGTAAGTCAAGTTCCCTCTTCTGGTCTCATGGCACCAGACATGCCCATGATACACATATGTTCCTGCAAGCAAAACCCCCATACACATTATTTTTAATGAAACTGCTATTGTCAAGAAACAAAGTGTGTTAGGTAGGATGTTGGGGACTGGAATGCTTATACTTTGGTGGGAAATTAAAATGGTCCAGCCACTATGGAACATGAAGACAATTCCTCAGTTAAACACACAATTCCCACAGACCCTCTAATGACACTTCCTTATGTGAGTCCTGAAGAGGCGACAGGCACTTGAGCAAGTATTTGCAAACAGATACTCATGGCGGCCAAAGATGGGAACAAGCTTCCAGCATCTTCTGGCTGGCGAGCAGATAAAGAATGGCGTCAACACAGCACGCATGGTTTATGTCTTTAAAAGAAACAAAACTCAAGCTAGCCATGGTGGCAGGAGGCTGAGACAGAAGGATAGCTGTGAGTCTGAGGCCAGCCTGGGATACATTATGAAAGCCTATGTCATAAAGGAAAAAAGAAAAAGAAATGGGACCAGCCTTTGGTGCTACCTAGAGGACAATAGGTATTGCTCTTGGTGAAGGGGGAAGACATCTCTCTTAGAGACTTGATAGGGAGGGAGGAGAAATAACAAGGTTTAAAAACATATCTTGTTTAAGAAGGGTCTCTGAGCCTAGCCTAGTGGTGCATCCCTTAAATCCCAGTGTCAGGAGGCAGGAGGATTTCTTGAATTTAAAGCTGGCCTGTTCTACTGAGTGAGTTCCAGGACAGCCAGGGTTACACAGAGAAATGTTATCTTGAGACCCCTCAAAAGAGGGGCTCTTCTCAGCAGTTGTCTGGGTCAGCTTGGTAACTGTCTAGAAGAAACGGTACTCTGGGTAACGTTGATGAAACTTTATGAAGGACGCCAAGTGTTAGCCAAAAGCAGCTAGTTAATTATCACATGCAGAAAACCCCAAACTTTTCAAACCTTTATTCCCAACTGAGCTGATTTTTTTTTTTTTTGGTTTTTTCGAGACAGGGTTTCTCTGTGTGTAGCCCTGGCTGTCCTGGAGCTCACTCTGTAGACCAGGCTAGCCTCAAACTCTCGAACTCAGAAATCTGCCTGCCTCTGCCTCTCAAGTGTGCCACCACTGCCCAGCTAGCTGATCTTTAAAGTTGTCTCTGTTAGCTTTTATTAAGTGAATATATATTGCCTGATTGATTACTTTTACTTCTTGTTAGATTTGTGTGTGTGTGTGTGTGTGTGTGTGTGTGTGTATGTGTGTGTGTGTCTATGTGTGTCTATGCGTGTGTCTGTCTATGTGTGTCAATGCCACATATGTGTGGTGCTCTCAACAGGCAGATGGGAGAGATGCATTAGATTCTGTCTATGAATATAGCAGAGTATTATTAAGGATCTTTTCCCCACCCCCAAACATGTGTGGTTCTATCATAGGTCTCTGGGCTATCCAGCCTCTGGTTCCTGGCCCTCCAGGAAGTGTCAGAGATCGGCTTCCTCTCTGGCAAGGGTCTTAAGCTGGGCCAGTCATTGATTGGCCACTCCCACAATTTCTGCACCACCTTTACTCCAGCACATCTTGTAGGCATGACAAATTGTAGGTTGAAGATTTTGTGGCTGGGTTGGTGTCCCAGTCCCTCCATTGGAAGTCAGGCCTAGTTACAGGAGGTGGCCAGTTTGGGCTCCATATCCCTGTTGCTAGGAGTCTTAGCTAGGGTCACCCTCATGGGTTCCTGGGAGTTTCCATTGCATTAGGTTTCTAGCTCATCCCTGAGATGATCCCTGGTTCCAGTAGTCTCTTCCTCTCTTCTCGCCCACACCTGAGCCCACCTGTCCCGGTGTCGATCCCGGTCCCTGTGCTGCATTTCCACCTGTGACATCAACTCTGTTTCTCCTCCCCAGGGAGATCCATTCGACCTCCCTTAAGTCTTTCTTGTTATTAGCTTCTCTGGGTCTGTGGGCTGTAGCATGGTTATCCTGTACTTTATGGCTAATATGTTGGGGTCCAGCCTCGACACAGGATCAGAGTTCTTACCTGGAAGCAGGGATATCTGGAAGATGCATAATAAACAGATAGACTACTTTTGGGGTACAAACTGACAGGCAAATTTTCAAGGCTTAAAATTGCCCTCTCTTCTCTCTTTCCTCTCTCTCTCTCTCTCTCTCTCTCTCTCTCTCTCTCTCTCTCTCTCCTTTCTTTTTCGCTTGAGTCTGCATACAATCTGCATTCTCCTGTGCACTTTTCTTTTCTCGAATGCCCACGCTCCTACACACCTCTGTGTGTTCCCTTTTCACTCACACACACCTCACACACCACATGCACTTTCCTTTCACTCACACACACTCTTCTCCTCAAACCCTCTCTCACATTGTCTACACTCATCTCACGCACATTTCATGTGCACCTCACTTTCTTCACTAGATCTCTTGCCTTTCTCTTGCCCTAGTCTATAATTGTTACTCCAAAAGCAGGTAGAAAAAAAAAGACATTGTATAATCATAGCCAAATCAAATTCAAAAGAATAACCACGTCCCACAAATAATCAAGAACTACAATTGTTCCCAAAGTTTCAAGCTTCTCCTATTCCCAGGCCTGTGGCCAAAATAATAATAATTGCAAATTTATCATTATTTAAACTTTAACTTTTGACTTATTATACTTCAGAGCTCAGAGCTTCAAAGTCAGCTGCTTGCATTTTCCTGTGAAGCTCTAATGATAAATGACATGGACAAAGCTGCCAGGCAATGGCCAGAAAGAATCAAATTAACCCTTAACTCAGTAGTTCCCCTAGCTTTCTGCTTCTGTACATTGCACACAATGACTCTCCTAAGAGTCCCAATGTTTTGACTTAGTTTTACTAGTGTGCAATTTTATGTATTCTCTTGCATATCCAGGAACCACTCTTAAATGTTGTGCAAAACTTATTTCACAACTTCAATAATTTTTTTCCTTTCTCAGGCTCCCAATGTTGGGTCTATTTCATTTTCTAACAATTTCTTCAAACTTTCTTTGCATGTCAAGCATTAACCTGGAGCTACCATTGCGCAGTTATTGTATTGTTTCCAAGATGAGAACACACAGCATGCACCTGGGCCATTAGGACTGTGCTGTGCTGTACCCTATGCCTCAGTTTTTAATTGTTTGAGAATCATTACATCAAGGAACATCTAGTTACACAGAATTCACCAGAGTAGATGGCAGGTCCCCTGGAGGGTTGTGTCTCCTGCTTCTCAGGGTCCCAGATGCCATCCTTTCCTACAAGGAGCTGCTGCGAGCTTCTGAGATGTTTCCACCCCTGCCTGCTTCTGGCATTCCCTGTCATGGTATGCTGTCCCCAGCACTAATATACATACCATGTTTGTCTTTTGGAGTCTGGGTTACCACACTCAGGATGATTTTTTTTCTAGTTCCATGCATTTGCCTATAAATTTCATGATATATTTAACAGCTGAGTAATAATACTCCATTGTATAAATACACCACATTTTCTTTATCCATTCTTTGGTTGAGAGCTGTTTCCAGCTTCTGGCTATTATAAATAGAGCTGCTATGCACACAGTTGAGCAAGTGTCCTTGTGGGATGGTGAAGCATCCTTTGGGTATATGCCCAGGAGTGATAGAGTGATATAGCTGGGTTTTGAGGTAAATCTATTCCCAATCCCCCCCCCTGAGAAATTGCCATATTAATTTTCTAAAGTGGCCGTACAAGTCTGCACTCACACCAGCAATGGAGGAGTGTCTCTCCTGCTCCTCAGCAGCGTGAGCTGTCCCTTGAGTGTTTGATCTTAGCCACTCTGACAGGTGTAAGACAGAATCCTGGAGGCATTTTGATTTGCATTTCCCTGACAGCTAAGGATGTTGAACATTTCTTTGTGTTTCTTGGCCATTAGAGAGTCCTCTGTTAAGAATTCTGTTAGGGCCAGGCGGTGGTGGCGCACGCCTTTAATCCCAGCATTTGGGAGGCAGAGGCAGGTGGATTTCTGAGTTCGAGGCCAACCTGGTCTACAGAGTGAGTTCCAGGACAGCCAGGGCTACACAGAGAAACCCTGTCTCAAAAAACAAAAAACAAAAAACAAACAAAAAACAAAAAACAAACAAAAAAGAATTCTCTGTTAGTACTCTATTTTTTGTTTGTTTGTTTTTAAATAAAAAACAACAACAACAACAACAACAACAGGGTTTCTCTATGTAGTCCTGGCTATCCTGGAACTCAATCTGTAGACCAGGCTGTCCTTGAACTCAGAGAAGTCACATGACAGATTCTGTGACTGGGGAGGAATTAGTCCCATGAAGACTTCATGTAAATCCCTATGAAATTCAGTGTCTCTGTCAACTCCTCTCTTAAGGTCTCCAGTCACCAACAACAGGGCTTCACATGTGAATTTCTGGGGGACAAACCCCAGAGCCTCCAAGGAAGTGCTGGGCTCCATGAACTTTAGTAGGAGTGGTGGGCAGGATGGTTGGGACCAAAAAATGAAGCAGCCAGAAGCAGCCAGAGCCCCTACCCCTCTGCCTCTGTGACATCACACTGAGACTTCTTTTTTCTCTGCTCCTGGGCCGTGGTTTCTGTTGCTATGGCAATGAAATTCTGAGTCATTAAGGGAAAGAGCAGCTAGTATGAAGTCTAATACTCTATCTGTGAGTACGGGAGTTGTGTTCCACTCCGTATGTGCATGTGTGTGTGTGTGAGCCAAAGTTGGTTGTCTTCCTTAATTTATCTCACCTCACTTTCTGAGACAAGCTCTCTTGCTGGCCAGTTTGGCTGGATCACCTGGCCAATAAGCCCCAGGGATCCTCTTGTGGCTGCTAAGGTTATGTGCATGTGTATATGCATGGATACACCCTGCTTTTACTAGGACCTGAGGATTGAATTCTGACCCACATACTTGCACTGCAATCCCTTTACCCTCTGAGCTGTGTCCTCTGCCCTAGCCATGCGTTTCTTACAGGACATTGTGACACTTGTAAAGGAACCACAACAGTTGCCCAGGATCCCTCTTTCATGGTTCCTCCCGAGCCTGTTTGCTGCCTTCAATGTAACACTGCTGGTGTTTTTGAGTGGCCTTTTCTTTGGATTTCCGTAAGTGTCCCATGTCATCCCTTAGGTTTCTTAAATGGGGACGGGAAGAAAAATATAGTACAGAGGCAGGGGAATTGCAGGAAGGAGTACTAGAAGGAAAGCCTGGGGAACAACAGTCTCATTAGAGGAAAAGAAATGTTCAGGCACAGAGTTCTGGAGTACTGGTGCATGATGGGGGCAGGTAAATATAGCTGATGACGATGGTGGTGGTGGTGTTTGGTGGGACCCCTGTGAGTCTGTGCCTTGCCTGCATACTTAGAGCCGGCTTTAAGTTCTGTGAGTCCTGACCCAGCTGGACAGGGCCTGGGGAGGAGCTCTGGGCGACTCCAGCTCCAAGCTGAAAGAGGCTCTGGTCTCAGTTGTAGGTGGCTGGTTCAGAACGGGGAGTGGGCCTTTCCTGTGATCACAGGCCCACTCTTCATCCTCACCTTCTTCACCCTGGTCTCGCTCAACTTCTCAGACCCTGGTACCTTACATCGAGGTGAGGACTCAGCCCCCCCCACCCCCGAAAGAGCTGGCACCCCAAAGGCTGGCACCCCACCTCCAGCCTCACGCCCCAGGACTTCACTCCATGACAACACTTCTCTGCCTTAGCATTTTCCAGGCCACCAAGGTGGGGTTTATTTTTTGTTTTTGTTTTTGTTTTTTTTGTTTTGTTTTTTCGAGACAGGGTTTTTCTGTACAGTCCTGGCTGTCTTGGAACTCACTCTGTAGACCAGGCTGGCCTCGAACTCAGAAATCTGCCTGCCTCTGCCTCCTAAGTGCTGGGATTAAAGGCGTGTGCCACCACCACCTGGCTTTTTGTTTTGTTTTTTGTTTTATTTATTTTTTTTTTATTTTCCACCAAGGTATTGATAAAAAAAAAAAAAAACAACAAGATCCTGGATATTTTCCAGTTGCTTCAGAAGAATGGGCTGTCCAGGCTGGAGGGAGAAACCAGTAGGCTTGTCCAAACCATGCAGTTTACACCCCCTCTTCCACTACACAGAACTTCCCGTGCTACTTACTGTTTGAAGGGCAGAGTTCTATACACAAGGCTGGCTGGAGCATGCCCCCATCCACTCACTAATTCCGACCTTTTCTCCTCCCACTCCCTGATGGTCAGCTTGCTCAGTAAGGTCAGGGATTTCCTGTCCAACTCTTCCCCACATCTCCTGTGCCTAGGACTGCTGTAGCCCCACCCAGAGCAGCAGTGTAAGGTCCCTGGCTAACTCTCTCCCGTGTCAGGCTCCATCCGTGAGGACCCCATGACGGTACATGTGGTGCGCGTGAACCAAAGGGCTTTCCGCCTGGAATGGTGCCCGACATGCCTCTTCCATCGCCCACCCCGCACCCATCACTGCCCATGGTGCAACATTTGTGTGGAGGTGAGCATCCCCTCATAGCCTGTCAACTAGACCTGGCCAGAACCTGAAGCCGCCTCAGATGTGGGCCAGGGCTCAGTGTGAGAGTTTTCCACGACAGGAGACGGCCAAGGATGACTGGATGCCACTGTTCTTGGTCACAGGTCACTGCCGCTGTGCCTGTGTCTGTTCAGGAAGGGTGGCATGTCAGCGTTGGCACTTTCGTGTGTTCTGGTCCTGGGGAAGTGAGCAGAGAAGACAGTCCCTACCCTATCTCCTGGTTTGCTGTCACGGGCTATCTAAATCCTTCATTTGGCAATAGGCCTGATCTGGGGACTTTTCCTGCCCTCCTTTGGATGTTTAGTTGGGAGGTCTCTCAGTTTGTCTCACATGTACTGGTGGACCCGTTTACAAATGTGTGGAGGGAAGCTGCCTGGGCAATAAGAGTAAGTGACCAAAAGGGCTGAGTTGTTTGGGATGATGGAAGCTGGGCAGAAAGGAAGGACAGTGTTCCTCTCCTTGTAACAGGACTTCGACCACCATTGCAAGTGGGTCAATAACTGCATCGGTCACCGCAACTTCCGTCTCTTCGCGCTGCTGGTCCTGTCCCTCTGTCTCTACTCAGGAGCCCTGCTGGTCACCTGCCTGACGTTCCTAATTCGCACAAGGCATCTTCCCTTCTCTCTGGACAAGGGGATGGCGTATCTACTAGTCATGCACAGGAGCAGTGGGGAGGGGTTGAGGCAGGTGAGAGATGAGGTCTCTGAGGGTGGAGCCAGTGATGGATGAAGCTAGCAGGAGAAGCCACTTCAGAGACTCAGTGTGAGCCCATGAAAGTGAGGAAATGGACAGTTAAAAAAAAATTAGAAGCTAGTAGGGCCATAGAATAATGAAGGCCTAAAAGGGACAAGCAGAGCAACAGCGTAGTGGGATAGGGTGGGAAGGAATGATGGTGGAGAGGGGAAGATGGGCTGGACCGGGCGTGGCTCCTTAGCTGGTGAGCATCCTGGTGGCTGTGCCGGCTGCGGGCTTCCTGATGCCGCTCTTCCTGCTGCTGCTGATCCAGGCCCTATCTGTGAGCCGGGCGGAGCGCTCCTACGAGAGCAAGGTATGTGGGGCGGAGCGTGGGCATCCAGACATCCGGCTGTGGGAAGCATCCTGAGCCCTCAGGATCTGTTTACCATTGCCTTTGGCCCCTAAGGGTAAGGCCTTCAGGACTCATCTTCTAAGTAGTAGCTCGGACCACAGCGCCACCTGCTGGAGCCCGGTGGTCTCTCTCCGTCCCGGGTGCAGGCCTATGTGCTAGGCTGCCTGCGTTTTAGCGTCTGGGTATCAAGAAGACTACATCCTACACTTGTCTGGAAACACCCTGTACCACATCAAGAAAGGTCAGTCTAGGGCTGAGTAGTTTGGACTAAGAGAAGAAGCTAGGCGTTAAGCAGGCCCGACACGCCATTCTGCATTCTGGAGTGATTTCAAAGGGACAGAAGACAGAGGATTGGGTGTTGCCACCTTTGCAAAAGGAACCAGGGAGCTAGAAAACAGAACTTTTCCCCTTCCGGTACTGTGGATTGAACCCAGGGAAAGTGCTAAGCAAATGTTCTACCGCTCAGCTGTATCCCAACCCCCCGGTCCCCCCCCCCTGTTAAAATTGAGACAGTCTCAGGCAAGCCTTGAACCCTTTCGACCTTGCTGGCTGCTGGAGTTAATGGCTTGAAAGAATGTTACAAGAGCGAGGGAACAGCTCTGATTCAAGCTGGCAATTGAGCAGACCCTTCCGAGCAGGTCACATTAAAGCAGCCAGTAACATCAAGCTTGGGACATAGTCTTGGAGCAGTAGAAACCCTGGAATCATTGTAGGGGTATCTGAAAGTAGTGTTCTTTATTCTAGAAGTTTCTTTCATGGCCTTTTGTAGTGGGTTTGTCTTCCTATTACAGCCCCCAGTAATGGTTGATTTGTTTTCCACCCTTAGGGTTTTGGTGGTTTGGTTTTTGTTGTTGTTGTTGTTTTGTTTTGTTTTTAAATTTTTTAGAATCCCACATAAATGAAATCATTGCCTTCCACATCTGCCTTGGCTTGCTTACCACAACACACCCGAGTTTATTCCTCTTTATTGCTGTGTAGCATTGCATTGTATTGTAGGATGCTCTACAGATTATCTGTGCACCAACTGAAGGGTTTTTACATCCTTTCTAGTTTGGGGCAATTAGAAAACGAACTCAAGCCGGGCGGTGGTGGTGCACGCCTTTAATCCCAGCACTTGGGAGGCAGAGGCAGGCGGATTTCTGAGTTCGAGGCCAGCCTGGTCTACAGAGTGAGTTCCAGGACAGCCAGAGCTATACAGAGAAACCCTGTCTCAAAAAAAAAAAAAAAAAAAAAAAGAACTCAATCCAAACACTGGTGTCCAGAATGTAAGCTTTCCTATTGGGTAAGTTCTTAGGAGTGGCACTGCTGGGTCATGTGGCAACTGCGTTTCATTTTATAACAAACTACCAGATTGTCTTCTAAACCAACTTTGCATTCATATATGAGAATTTCAGTTGCTCTGCCTCTTTGCCAACACTTGACACTGTGGGAAGTTTGCTTTAGCCCATCTAGTGTGGTGGCATCCTGTAGCTCTGATTTGTGTTTTCCTCGTGAGAGTAATGCCAAGCTGTACATCTCTGATGTAATATGTGCTCCAAAATACTTAGTGCATTTAAATTTTTCTTTATGGGCTGGGCGGTGGTGGTGCACGCCTTTAATCCCAGCACTTGGGAGGCAGAGGCAGGCAGATTTCTGAGTTCGAGGCCAGTCTGGTCTACAGAGTGAGTTCCAGGACAGCCAGAGCTATACAGAGAAACCCTGTCTCAAAAAAAACAAAAACAAAAACAAAACAAAACAAAAAAGCAGAAAACAAAAAAAGAAAAAGAAAGAAAGAAAAAAAGAAAAAAAAACAAAAAATGTTTTTTTCTTTATGTGTTTCATGAATACTCTGTGCATTCTAGGTTCAGGTATGTGTTTTAAAAATATTTTCTTGAAATCCATAGCTTATTATTTTGTTTTCTTTTCAGTTCAAATAGCAGAACTTCTAATTGTGCTTGTGTATCTGTCCATGTGTGCACGAGCATAGTGTATGTGGTATGTGTGCTTGTGTGTGTGTGTGCATCCCAAAATGTGTGTGTGTTTGGTGTGGATCTTTGCTAACCCAAGATCACAAAATTTCACTCATGTGTTTTTCTACTGAAATTTTGTGGGTTTAGATTCTGCCTTTCGATTGATGATTTCTTTGGGGCTAAATTCTGTAGGTGGTAAAAGTTTGCTTTTGTTTTTAAAGTTATTTTTGTATGTATAAGTATTTGTCCAGATGTACGTCTGTGTATCATGTACATGCCTGGTGCCTGTGGAGTCCAAAAGAGGGTGTCAGAGCCCCTGATTCTGGAGTTTCAGTTGCAAGCCGCCATATGGGTTCTGAGCAGGCAATGCTGTCGGGAGACTGGGCTGTCTCTCCAGTGCCCACGATTTGCTGTTTGCATACCTGCACCACTGGTTGAAAAGGATTCCTTCCTGCATTGTGGTGTCTTTGCATATTCATTTAAAAGCAGAACTGGCCAGACAGACATGGTTTATTTCCCAGCAGCACATTGCTGCCCACCCTGTGCTGTCTTGGTTAGTGTTGCTTTATAGTTTGGAAACAATGTGCAATGAGTTCTCCGACTGCTCCTTTTTGAGGTTCTCCTGGCTTTTTGTTCCTTGGAGGAAACGTTGAGAATCAGCTTGTCACTTTCTACACACCCACCGGGGTTTTCATCAGAATTCTGTTGACCTGTTGAGCAGAGCGGGGCTAGGTGGCAATTTCAGAAGACCGCATTAGGGGATCCGTGAATAAGCTTCACCTTACATTTATTTAGGCTTTTGGTTTTTTGTTTTCATTGTCTTTCATCATTACTTTGTAGCATGTGGATTCTGTACCCATTTCATTGGACGGTAACTTGACTAATGGCTGTTTTAGGAAGACAGGTAGACTTAGTATTTGGAGAACTAGAGGCAGACAGCTGAAAGACAGACAGACAGACAGACGGAACATCCTTTACCCGTTGCTCCCCCGTCCCACTCAGACCTCAGTCATCACTCGCCCAGTTTTGGGTCCCCTCTCACCTTTGCCTCCTCTGCTCAGCCCTTCCTTACAGCTCAGTACTCACTACGCTTCCTCTCTCTGGCGTCAGTCCATCATGTCGGGCTCTTCTGGACAGCACTCTTTCCTCTGATATCTTCCAGTTCTAGTCCCAGGTCAGCCCCAGGTCATTGCTTCCTTCTGATAAAATCAGGCCTTCCCAGTCCAGGGACTCCAACTTAGGGGACGTGAATGTGGTTCATACTTGGGCTTTCCTGGGCAGGGCTCTTTTCTCTTTCCGCTGGATCCTTTTCATGCTGACCATATACCCCAGTGTTCATTCTCTCTAAACTGCCATTCCCGGGCTGAAGCTCCTTTTTGGATCCCTTGCTTGGTGGCTCATAGCAAGGACTCTGTAGATGGACCACATTGGATCACAACCCTACAGCACACCTGTAGTGTGTGGGATGTTACTTGGCCACTGGGTCACTCCATCTCCCACTGTAGAAAGGGAAAGCATAGGCTTAATTTGTGTAAGACTTTACAGTAATAGCTCGCATGCTGAGAGACCCGTCTGTTATTCTTGTTACCATTGGGTTTTCTATAATCAAAGCACGGCCCTTAGTTAATGTCATAAGCCTCCACTCCACTTACTGAAGCCTCCCCTGGGTGTCCCTTCTTGAAGGTGGTGGCTGTGTCCACTGTTGTTTTCTTATTTTCTGGACCTACTCCAGCCCTAGCCCATCCTCAGCCACAGTGATCCCCCTCTCAGCGAGTGTCCAAAGCCAATGGACACTCCCTGCTCTACACTCTTTGAACTGCACACAAAGCATTTGGGGCTGTGGCTTCTCCGGTGGCAGCCATGTTGCCAGTGAGGTCAAAGGACTTGCTTTACTGGATTGATCTCCTTTCTCTGTGCTGCCCTGGCCACTCCCCTCAATGTTCAGTTCACTGCCTCACAGTTGCTCACATAGCAGAGAAAGCTAAGCCGGTCTTGTTGCTTACAGTATACCCACAGTTCCCCACAGTTCCCACTGCAGTACCTAGGACAGTTTGAGACCCAGAACAATCTATATCTGGAACTTTGGCTCAACGGTAAAGCACATGGCTTAAGAGATCACAGGGCCCTGGCATTACTTCCAAGCACTAGAAAAATCTAACAACCAATGAGTCAGCATAATGGTGGAAAAGAAGGGGGGGCAGTTGGGCAGAGAGCAGAACAAGACGCTGCTTTGTTTGGATCCTGGAGAGTGCGAAGACATTTGAGACACAGAATTGGAGGAGGAGCTCCAAGTCTGGAGTCAGTGAGAGGCTACGGGAGCACTTCATGAGAGGCTACAGGAGCACGTCAGAGCTACTGGAGTCTCTCTGTGTCTGAGAGGGCATGCCCCTGTGGGTAAAGAAACATACTCAGATTGCCTGGTTGGGTCTTATGATAAGCACTTTCTATATCATAGAAATCAACATTGTTCTACTTCATATACATCTAGCTGATTGTTTTCCATGTAACTTTTAAAAGTCTGTCAATTATATCAAATCTTTCTAAACAGAATTCCTAGGGAGCTACCTGTTCCTCTAAATTGGGGCTGACAGCTTGAAGGAGGCAGACCTTTCTCTAGCACAGTGGTCAATACAGCTTTGGGCCACAGCAGGATATTCCAGGACAGTCCTGAATGGGGTCCTGCTTTCTGGCTGGTGGTGTTTTGAAGACCAGAGTCTTTTTTTTTTCCTTTTTTTTTTGGTTTTTCAAGACAGGGTTTCTCTGTGTAGTTCTGGCTGTCCTGGAACTCACTCTGTAGACCAGGCTAGCCTCGAACTCAGAAATCCGCCTGCCTCTGCCTCCCAAGTGCTGGGATTAAAGGCGTGCGTCACCATACCCGGCGTGAAGACCAGAGTCTTGCTGAGAGAAGTATGAGGCACATTTGGGATCAGGCATAGATGATGTTGAGTCACTTTGTGACTAAGGCTAAGTTGGGATGAGGCTTGACCTACAGGAGGACTGGGGAGTCTCAGGATGAGTGAGAAGGAACAGTGGAGAGAAGAGAGGAGACCCTAGTTAAGAGTGTCCAGGAAGCTGGCAGTGCTGGTGCATGCCTTTAATCCTAGTACTCGAAGAGCAGAGGCCAGTTGATCTCTGTGAGTTTGAGGCCAGCCTGGTCTACAAAGTGAGTTCCAGGACACTAGGGCTGTTACACAGAGAAATCCTGTCGAAAGAAAGAAAGAAAGAAAGAAAGAAAGAAAGAAAGAAAGAAAGAAAGAAAGAAGTCGGGCAGTGGTGGCACATGCCTTTAATCCCAGCACTTAGGAGGCAGAGTCAGGCAGATTTCTTGAGTTTGAGGCTGGCCTGGTCTACAGAGTGAGTTCCAGGACAGCCAGGGCTACACAGAGAAACCCTGTCTCGAAAAACCAAAAGAGAGAGAGAGAGAGAGAGAGAGAGAGAGAGAGAGAGAGAGAGAGAGAATCCAATGGATCAATGGATGCTGGCACAGTAGCATACTCTTTGACTTCAGGCTAGCCTGGGCAACAAAAGAGAATTCTAGGGAAGTCTGGGCTACAGAGTGAGACTCTGTCTCAAGACAAAGTAAAAGGAAGTGGTCACAGGAGAGCTTGAATTTTGAACTTGCCCTTACCTATGTCATCACATTGGGACAGGTTTTCCCAGGCCATGTGACTCTGACTGGGAAAATCTTGATTTAAATCACTACAACCCTTCCAGATGGCGAAATTCAATGAAGACAAACATTCAGAAAGCAAAAATGAGCAGTGGGAAGGCCAAGGCACGGTGGACAGTGGTGGGCTGTCTGAGGAGGGGCTGAGTGGCTAAGGAAGGATCCGAACATGTGTCAGAAGGGTCTGAACAGCGGTCAGGAAGGTCAGAGGAGAGCATTTGTGGCCACAGAAAGCAAAGATGCTACACAGGGGCATACAGGTGACGGGGAGCCCCAAGAAGGCAAGAGAGGGGAGAGGCAGGTACAGTGTCAACATCAGCCCCGGTAGAGCTGATCAGAATTGGGGTGCCTTTCCTGGGAACCCAGGAAAACCAAAGCCCAGCTCGCTCTCCAGACTCCTTCCCTTGCTATGCAGGCCGGCCGGCCACAGCTGGTCCTGAGCTGACTGGCTGAGGGCATGTCGCTACTGTGACCCACTGGCCAGTTCTGATAGTCTCTTCTCCTTCCCATGCCCTTCCAGTGCAGGTACCATCAAGAATACAACCCCTTTGACCAGGGCTTTGCCAAGAACTGGTATCTAATAATGTGTGCACCACTGGGTCCCAAGTGAGTTGGGAAACCAAACAACTGAATGGTGTGGACCCCAGGGCTAGTTAAGTATCCCAGCCCCCAAACCTTGCACTGTTCAGGACTCCTTCCTTCCCCACAACCTCCACCCCCGGGACCATTGGGGGCCTTTCTGTTGACTTTTGCCTTGAAACACAGGATTAAGGGGGTGAGGGAGCTGCAGCTAGAAAAGGCTTGCCTAGCTCTGGGCAGGGCTGCCCCCTGGGATGTGTCCCCAGACGGAGAGGGAAGATGGAGCTCTGGCTAAGAAGGGCATTGACTCCTTGTACCTGCCCTGTCTCTTCTTCAGTTACATGTCTGAAGTTGTCTGTCTGCAAAGACCAGTTGGGACAGGATGGATCCATGAGAAGACAAAGTACTCACCGTGTCCTCCTAAACACTGTAGCCCAGATCCTCCGGGGTCCCAGCTCCTACCTCAGCACACACCAGGGAAGGGGCCCCCAGGGAGTGGCGAAGGAGCAGCTCTGCAGGAGAGGAGAAGGCTGCCTGCATCTGTGGAAAAGTCCCCAGGAGGTGGGACTGGCCCTGAAGCTGGAATGCTCAGAGCTTGGTGGAGGGGAGCTTAAATCTGGAAGGACCTTGAAAGGGGGTGGCTCTAAAATACTCTCAGGCACCCCCCACAAAGCAGAGAAAAGATCTCATCTCCAGTTTGGTTTGAGTCCTGGGCTGGTCACTAAGTCTGAAGGAGTTTCCTCAGCTGTTAATGGGGACAGAGATTAGCCTACAGTTTATACTGGTTTTTTTTGTTTGTTTGTTTGTGTTTTTTTTTTTTTTTTGGTTTTTTGAGTCAAGGTTTCTCTGTGTAGTTCTGGCTGTCCTGGAACTCACTCTGTAGACCAGGCTAGCCTCGAACTCAGAAATCCACCTGTCTCTGCCTCCCAAGTGCTGGGGTTAAAGGCATGCGCCACCACCACCCGGCCAGTTTATACTGTTTTGAAGAATGCCCCTTCATTGAGGCAAAAAAATTACATACAGTTCAAGTTCATTGAAATACACGGTAATGGAATGTAAGATACAGGTGGGGGCGAAGTGTCACAGATTCCCTTCCAACCCCCAGACCTTTGAAGTGCTGATCACCCCTTGGCTCAAATAAGGGGGAGCTGGGGGTGGGGCGGAGCTGAGGAGGCTGGAGGGATCCTGCATGTGCTCACTCTGTGTTTAGGTCCACGCCAACTCATGGCTGAACCTGCTATTGGAGACCCCTAGATGAAGCTCACCCCGGTGCACACAGAGCCAGGACCACGTGAATTTGCGCCTTCAAGTTTGAACCCGCGTGATGCACTTGGGCCCAGCCCCTGTTTTATTAGTGGGAACACTGACACCCACCTATCCTCATTAAATATTGATTGTTGGTTTCTGATAAGGGTCTCAGGCCTGTTGAAGGGATGAGAAAACAAAGATCTCCAGGCATGGGCTGAACCAGGGTTTTTGGAGACTCAAATTCAGGGTTTATCATTGCCTGGTTCCATAACCTTGGGCAGGACACTAAAGGTTCTCTCTTACGATGGACCCACAGTATTAACTGAAGTCTTTCTGATAAGGGCTGGTGAGAGAAAAACCACCAGTCATGTCCGCACTGGGGGAGAACAAGGTCTCCGTCCTGCAGTACCTCTATCTGGCTGAAGAGGGCGCGCACAGCCCAGGGAACGCGCAAGCCGCGCTCGGCACTGTGGCACCAGACCCCTGTTGGGTTGAAAGGCCATCAGGTTGTTAGGGGTACCCTTCCAGCGGCCACTCTAAGAGACCTGGATAAACGTGGGATGCTCAGCCTCATGCTAAGCCTGCATTTATCCTGCATCCTCATCTGATTTTTGACGTACTCCCATACTCCAACCTGTCCCTAGTATGATCCAAGGTCCTGTGCGTCTTTAGGCTCCTGGGGGTGCTTGGACATTAAACTCTGGCTTCATTAGTGGCCACGGTGTGTGGCCTTGTGTAGTACAGTCATCTCTCCAGCTCTTTAAACAATAAAGCCACGCTACTAGTCAGCTTTACTCCCTTATCATCCCGGTTCCCAGGCCTCAGCCCACTCACTTGTCCCTAGGGGCCCAGGCCCCTTCCTGTCAAATCTGTCAATTGTATCTGCTCTGCTACTGATCCTCTGGGTTTCTGGCTAGCTCATTTTCAACACCAAGAGCTTCTTTAGAGAGGGCTTGGGGCTTTTCTCCAGTTTTACCCCTGCTCAGCTTTTCTAGGTGGAGTTTTGGATATATGTCATTGGCGTATGAAAAGTCAACCCAGGCCAGGTGTGGTGTCTCATGACTTTAATCCCAGCACTTAGGAGCCAGAGGCAGAAGGACTTCTGTGAGTTTGAGGACAGCCTGATCTACAACAGGGTGAGTTCCAGAACAGCCAGGACTATATAGACCCTGTCTCAAAAAAGACAACAACCAAAAACAAAACAAAACAAAACAAAAACAAAAACTCAGCCCAGCTTGGCCCTTCCAGATGACTCCCGGGAGCACATTTAACTGTAGTACTAAAGCAGCTCTGCGTTACATGACAGCAAGGACAGGAATAGCATTTTTGAGCCACTGAGCCCAGATGTATGTCTACATCTGGGTATGAATCTCCAGTGTGTGAACATCCTAGCTTCAGGAAAAGGGCAAGAATGGGGCAGTCAAGGGGTTTTCTCTTCCCCTGAAGGAGAGTTCCCCAGGTAGCCTGAGCCTGAATCAGAGGGATCCAGGAGCCTGGGCCAAGGCTCGGATTAAATCCTGCAAGGGATACCTGCCCTACTGGAGGCTTTAGTGAGGCTGGCTGTCTTCAGCCCCATCTGGCTTGGGACTGTACTTACTGGTTCCTAGGTTCCAGGTATGCAGGGGACTCACTCAGCTTCAGGTAAGGGACCTTCAGAGGCTCAAGCATGCCATCTTCCCTGACTCTGTAAGGCCTCAGTTACCCTGCAAGACAAGGATGTAATTTTCTTGAGATTCTCAAGAGGCCCCACTCCTGCTCTGGGGTAAAGATTCTAGGTTTCTTTGTTCTTCCCAATTGAGAATTTCTACAGTTCTAGAAGGGGCCTAGCTCGTCCCTTCTCTGATGGTCCTTTGTCCTTCCCCTAGACCTCAGGCTGTGCTAGGAGGGCTTCAGTTGCCCTGCTCCCACATTCTCCTCTGCCCCTCCTTTTTGCAGAACTTGCCTTTGCTTCTCAGACTTACCCCACCCAGTCTCTGGCTGACAGATAAGGTGAGCGCTGTTATCAGAGCCCCAAGAGGGGCCTGCTGCCCTTATGCCCAGAAAGCCCTGCCACCCTCAGAATAAGGGCCAAAGCCAAGAATGGCCATGTGCCAAGTTGTAGCTGGAGCCCCTCTGTAGAGTCCCAGCCAGCTAGCTCCTCAGAGCCAAAATCATCTCCAGAGTCATCCACACAGCCTTCTGGGAGGTTGAGACTTGTAGGGTAGGACAAGTCTTGAGTGACTGACTAACCAGACCTACTGCCAACTAGTATGCGTGACAGAAGTCACTTGGCTCAGCACAGCAGTCCCCAGGGAGTCATCTACCTCACAAAGAGTCACAGGCCTTGATCTTCATAGACAGGGTGAGGGTCAGAGACCCTTCGTCCTACAAGCTTCCACGATCAGTTTCAGACGGGGTTTGGGGGCTGGTGAAGGAAGTGCCTGGCTAAGATAACATCATGGCAGAAATGGCAGCCAGCTGGTTGCTTTCTGGTTCCTACTGTGAGCTGCTCCAGCAGGGGAGCCAGCACTGTAACTGCAGAGCTCAGCTCTCTTGCCCCAGGCTCAGATAAGCCAATGCCTCAGGAGTCACTGGGGAGCCGATAAGAAGGCTGCAGAAGCCCTCTCCATACTGGGCCACCTGATAATGGTCCCTACTGCCTCTGGCTCACCCACCCTGCTCTGCCCTAACCACCCCACCCAAGGGGGGGCCCTGCCGTGGCTGAGGGTGAGGCAAGACAAGGATGATGGAGCAGAGGAGACTACTATAGAGTCCTCACACCCCACAGGTCACAGGCCCCTTGCTGGTTACCCTCATGGGCAGGTGCCCATGGGTCTGGTGTCAGGTCCCTAGGAGACCTCCATCTAGGGACTGTGTCTTTAGTTCTTAGCAAACAGATGCAGCCTGGGGATGAAGCCCTGTTCCAGGTGACAAACCTTTACTACCCACTGCCTGGTCCAGCCTGTGCTAAGTTATTTGTAATATTTCCTTTCATCTTCACATCAGCCCTGCTAAGTTGCTATTCTTGTTTTAGAAACGGAAAACAACATTCAACAAAGCAGTGACTTCCCCTGGCCATGATAAGTGGCAGAGCCAAACCCCTCCAGGCCCTTTCCCATGACGTGTTTTTCAGCATGAAGTCTATGGGCTTCTCTAGGAAGCAAGATGAGCAGACACAAGTCACAGCTTTGACCAGGCAGAGCCAGACTCCAGCACTGGCCAGAGGCTGCTTAATCAATGGTGGACGTCACTGAGGGTGGCCCAAGGACCACATGAGGCGGGCTTTGTGTGATCTTCGTAGGACTTCATAATGCACTGTGGCCCTATATAGGATCCGTTGGGGCTGAGCAATGGTGGGAAAGGTGCTGCTTCAAGGGGAAGTCTGTTTTACAGAAAGTCAACCCCTGGGAAGTCTCCCGGCCAAAGGGACTGGAGTGTAGACTCAGGTGTAAAAGCTGGGACTCCCCTGCAGAGCAGTATGGTGGCCTTAGGGCCATGGTTGTGCACTTCAGTTAAGCAATCAGCTTTGGCTTAGCTGCTTATGTTCACGGTACCTCAGGCTGAAGGAAGTCAAAAGCCGCTTGTTGTTCCTGGCTCCTGTTTCTCTGTGTCCCGGCCTCCATCTTCAGCTCACCTCCCCTCACCTCTCCACTCTCCACTTCTCTTCCTTCCTCTTCCTTCTGTCACATTCTTACACGCTGCCCTCCAGTTCTCCATCCTTTTGACTCCCCCTCCCACACTCCTTCCCCCTCCCTCCCCCCACCTCGGCTTTTCCTGGATGAAAACTTCCAGGAACACAAAGTCAATGGAGGACTTTCAAGTAAGAACGTCTAATTGTGATTCTTGGAAGCCATAGGATCTGGGTACAGCACAGGAGGGCTGGAGGCAGCCTTTGTACAGGGAACCTTTGTCTGCTTCTGCCCGGGGGGGGGGGGGGGGGGGGGCTTCTGCAGTCCAGCTAGGCACGCATTGCTAACTGCTTTCTGACTGGGGCAGCTTGGAAATGAGAGATTCCAAACTGGTGGGGTGGGGACCCCATAGGCTATCCAACCACCTCCCTCATTCCTCAGGGAGAAGGAGGGCATGGGGAGGGCTTCCTTTGGAGTCACGCAGCTCATGAAAGGCCGGCCTTGGCTGTCTCCAGGTGTCTGCCGTGCACCCTTTCCACACCCTGTGCTAAGATTGCTAGGCCAGGCTCTGGCCTGTAAAACAGGAAGGGCCTGGAGACTCAGCTGCTTGGCATCAGCAAGCAGGCTCCTACGGCTGACAGCGGGAGCTACAGTCACTCTGCTGTTCTGTGTGCCAGGCATTGGGCTAAATGCTCTGCTTGCATTACCTCATGTAATCCTCAAGCAAACACATGAGGCACTGCTAGTACCTCTGTGGATGTAGCCCTGACAGTCCGCAGGCCTACAGGAAAGGACTCCTCCTGTCCTGGCCTGGGAGTCCTCCTTAAATCTTTAAGTGTTGGAGCTCAAACCCAGATTTTCATGTATTCAAGGCAAGCACCCATCACTAAGGTACCATTTAAAAATTTGAGACCAGGTCTCATCGAGACCCAGGCTGGTCTTGAACTCCTTCCGAAGCTGCCCAGCCAGGACTTGAACCTGGGAACCTCTTGCTATAGCCTCCAAGCAGATGGACTCAGGCTTATGTCTCCATGTCTCTCACATCTAGGATTCTGGCTCAGTGAACAAGATTCTGGCCTGATCTCAACGCTGCAGTGGCCAGCCCATTAGGACCCTTTGCCTGAGCTGGAGTCACTCTAGAGCCCAGCCGCCCCCTAGCAGCAATGGTGAACAGGAGGAGATCCACGAAGGGCACTGACTCTGGGCAGAGAACTGTGCTGGGAACATCTCCAGCCCACTAGCTTTTAGATCTTTCTTCACAAGCCTTAGGCAAAAATGGAGCGATGCCTTCCTGCTGGCCCATTCCTGGCCAGTGCAGCACGATGCAGTGCAGATAGCCAGAGCAGGTCTCTGGAGATGTTGGGAGGGAGTGGGTTCTGCTGTTTCCTACGGTGTGTCCTGAACATATCCTAGCCTCTCAAAGTCACCCT